CCCCCCCGGCAAGCGACCCGCGGGGCCCCGCGCCTCTCCCGGGAGGAGGAGGGCCTCCCCGCGGCGACACCAGGGATGCCGATGGTAGCGGAGCCTCACCGCTCTCCCCCCACGAAGGGGCCGCCGGCACCCCGTACCGGGGGAGCGGCCGTTCCGGCCCCGCCGCCGGCCGGGCCCACTCCCCACCCCGCTCGGGTCCCCGGGGATCCGCGCCAACTCCTCACCTGCGCCCGACTCTCCCCTCCGGGTCGCCGGCCCTTTAACAGCCGCCACGCTCCTATTGGGCGAGCTGAGTGCCTGTCAGCCCTTCCTGCGCGCCTATTGGCGGTCTCTGTCCGCCGCTTCCCCCCGCCAGCCCCGCCCCTCGCCGCCCCGACGCGCCAGGCGGGACGGAATCCCCCCACTTACGCCGGGAACGCGGCAACCCCTGGCCCAGCGGGGCCTCCGCCGTGCGCAGCCCCCAGGCAGCACTGGCTGCAGCGGCTGCTTGTCTTCCTAGTGCCTGCCGGTGATTGGCTGATGGCTGTCAAGGCCCGCCTTTCTCCTCAGTGAGCTTCCGGTGGCGGGGATGGCGGCGGCTCACGGAGGAGCCAGACGGGGCGGTCCCGCCCGCTTTGTCTGAGGGGGCGGTGCGGGCGGGCGGGCCCTTCTCCGCGGCGGCCTCGAAGCGAGGGCGAAGCTCTGTCTGCCGGCGCAGCGGGCCCTGCCTGAGGGAGCGGGTTGGGCCCGCCGGCCTTTCCGCGGCCGCGTAGGGGGCAACCAGAAAACAGCATCTGGAGCCAGTGTGGGCAGCGGGGTTAGGGTGGCAGGGCTCACGCGCAGCAGTTTGCGCTTAAACTGTGCGGCTTGAGTGTATTGTGGGGTTTGAGATAAATAGTGAGGTAATATTTGTAGAAGTACCCTAATAAATATTTTCTGGGAAGCGCCACGTATGGAGGAAAAGGAAAGGAGGGTGTAGAGTGGGGGTCGGTCTCTTCTCCCAAGTCACAGGCGACAGGACAAGAGGAATTGGCCTCAAGTTACGCCAGGGGAGGTTCAGGCTGGATATTAGGAAACATTTTTTGACTGAAAGGGTTATCAGACATTGGAATGGGCTGCCCAGGGAGGTGGTTGAGGCACCATCCCTGGAGGTGTTCAAAAGACAGGTTGATGTAGTGCTGGGAGGTATGGTTTAGTGATGATGCTTCTTGTTTGTTGTGCGGGTGTCTATTTTTGTCAGTTTGGTTGATGGTCGGACAAGATGATCTTTAAGGTCCCTTCCAACCTAGAAGATTCTGTGATTCTGTAAGCCACCATGTGAAACGCTTCTGTGGGTCTTTCTGGTGTGGGCCCTCATTGCCTCCTCAGCCACACGTGAAGGGTCTGGCACTTGCTCTTTATATTGCAAGCCGTTGCCTTGGTAACGTAACCTTTGTGCAGGCACTACTTGCAGATAGAGAATTCAAAATATTTTTTTCCCTACAGTTTGCAGCCTCTGCCCAACCTGATGCATGAATGTGTTATTTTGCATATTTATTAACAGTTACTTGCTCAGTCCTTTCAAATCCAAGTTACAGGCGTATTCAGTATTTGGACTTGAGCATTGTCACTGGTTGGAGAAGTTACTTGATTAATATAGCTTCTAGTGATTATAATTGTGTGATGAAACAACAAATCTCCTTTAAAATGCTATTTTCCAGTTTCAGTCAATGCTTCTGTCAGTGAATTTCCTGAAAATATTTCATAGAATCATAGAATCATAGAATGGTTAGGGTTGGAAGGGACCTCAAAGATCATTGAGTTCCAACCCCCCTGCCATGGGCAGGGACACCTCCCACTACAGCAGGTTGCTCAAGGCCACATCCAGCCTGGCCTTGAACACTTCCAGGGATGGGGCATCCACAGCTTCTCTGGGCAACCTGTTCCAGTGTCTCACCACCCTCGTAAAAAATTTCTTCCTGAGATCTAATCTGAATCTTTTTTCTTCCAATATTTTCTTCCATATTTATAGAAACTAGATGTGGAAAGGCTATGAATTTTATTAGCTTATTTACAGTAACGATAGTTTTGCTGCCATGCTTACCCATTTTGTACTGAATATCATGAAACTTCAAAAAGGAAAATAGCAAGGAGTAGGGTAGCAAGACCATGCCCCATTGCTGGCAATACGTTATACAGGGATATTTCTCATTAAGACCTATGTATAAACGAGGCTTCAACTTAGATTATTACTGGTATTTTGACAGTGCTCAGAAATAAGGTGCGAGTGTGCCCTAAAGGTCTTGCAAGCTGGTTCAAACTAGATTCAGGTGCAAGTACGTGGAAAAATGATAGAGAGGGAAAGTCATTAACAGTCTGAACCTCTGCCAGTCTGCAAAAATAATTACTGCTAATTATATCTCATTGAGTATCCTTCTTTTATTGTGAAGCACTAGAATGCTAAACATGATTAGTGTCCATTAAAATAATTTGAAGTAGGAAACAAATGATTTCCTGGGGTGCACATAATTATAAATAGCTCTACTTTCTCCCCCTATTGTGATTCCAGTATTACAGAGATGATTGATCACGGGTGAAAGCTTTTGGTATGTACCAGCTTCGTCCAGCAAAAATCCTTGGACTTCCTTAATTCACGTGAACTGTCTTGAATATATGTGTAATTTATGTGTATTTTATTCATTAAATCCAGACTCTGCTTCCTTAATGACAATGAGAAAAGCCCAACCATACGGCCAACTTCAGGTAAAAACTGTGCAAGTCCATGGTGAATTTCCTGGATCTGTAGAGCATACACAGGCAATTTTCTTCTGCTTGTGCACAACTACAGCTCTCAAATTTGGTCCGAGTATCCCTTCATTGTTCAATATAAGCTTTTAACGTTTTGAACACTGTTGGAATGTTTTGTATGTCTCCAAATGGCTTTTGCTAGCAGTGGGCAAAGGCCTGAGATTGTTGGAATGTTAGTTTCTATTGTTGTAACTCGATAATCTATACAGAGGTTTGAAGGACACAGAATATTAAGTCCCAGAAGAATACAAGGCAACACAGGGCTCCTTCACTAGGAGCTCCTTCACCTCATTAGAAAGATTGTAGGTTTGCTGTATTTTGAAACTCACTAAAAAAAAAAATCAGACCTGAGGAGGATTCTGTTGCTCGGTGCTTTTATTTCACAAAAGAATGAACATCTCGGCAAACATGTAGTATCATACTTTCCACGTATCAGCAGAGCCCAGGCAGCAGCAAAATGTTACTGATCTCTATTGGGTGTTAGAAGGGAAAAAAAGTAAATTGAGCATAATGTTCAGTTACAAATACTGTCAAATACATCCCTGTATTCAGTCTGTTTTAATTAAAATAGATCTTGTGCTGCCTCCTGTTGGTCACCTACAAACAGAAACATCTAAAATTAGACTCCACATTACCAACTGCACATTCTATAGCCTATACCTTATCTACTACCTACGACTAATCAGAGGAGGTATACAGCTTTTCTCATGGAGTAATACCAGAAATAAATCTGACCCAGTAAATCTATTTCATTTTGTGAATATAATGAATTTTTAACAGCAGTAAACTGGCTTACTACAAATGTATTTAGAATATAGAAAATAAATTCATTAGTACATAAATAATAGAGTAATCATCAGGTCTGTGCAAACATAATTAATATAAACACCTGAATAATTGATATTTATTATAACAACTAAACCAGTATGATACCATTAGCAAAGTGCCATAATGTTTTGATAGCATTCTTTAAAAATTAAGATTATCCAATATAATCATTACTGGATATTAAAATTCCACATACAATATATATTATCTTCATGTATATTATACTGGTCATGCTTATAGTGTGTTCTGTGACATAGAATACTATTAGAAATGTTTTGGTTACATCATTTAAGTGCAAATAGTAGAGTATAACTTTACATGCAATTTGTGTTTTAAACATCTTACTGTATTTCAGTGAGAACATACATAATCATTAATATAACCATCGACTATTTTTAGAGGAAGGTACCTTTTCATAAAGTACTGTGAGCTTTGAAAAGACAGAAAAGATGTAGAAAAACTTGCTTTGGACTGTTTTTGTGATTTTTTTAAAATTGCATAACAGCTGCATAAAGTAGACTGAAAAATCTGTTTGATCCAGACCTACAGCAGTTACTCATGCAAGTAATCCATATTCTTCTGAGTAGTGGAGTTGACTTCACTGAGATTTCTTACATCATTAGTGAATAATTACAGGATTCGGAGCTTAGGCCCCTAATTCTATTATAAAGCCTTGGTTTTCACCATGAGTTTCTAACACTTCTTCTGCACTGAGTTCTGCTACCAGATTTAACTCTCTGTATGCGAAATTGTGGCAAATGACCCTTTTTTCCTCTGTGAGAGTCGCAGTACAGGCTTACCTGCACAACTGAAGAAAATTCATACCGTTTCACAGTAACGTTTCTGTAAGCAATGGTATGAAGTAACTGACACTACTACATTATTTCCTGATCACTGAGTAAGAGAGTTCAACTCCATTTGAAATCCACGAATGATTTGTCAAACTGGGAACTGACATTAGTTCCTGTGCAAATGTAGCATAGAATATTAAAGAAGCATGTCTATTTTCCAAATTAAGCTTTGTTCAGTTTTCACTAGACATACTAATAATGAGTAATTTACCACATACGTCATTGCTCTGGCTGATGTCATATGCCAGAGGCTTATACATATAGCAAGTAGCTGGATGGAAGACTGCCAAAAAAAATTTGCTGTAAGGAAAAACTTGGAGGCAAGAACGTCACCTGAATTACTGACTCGGCGTTTATGTGACCCAGCAATTTGGTCATGACAGTGGCAATTAAAAAACCTCATAATTCTCTAGTCTCTTCCAATTTGCATAGCTATTTATACCCATGTGCTATGGGCATAATATGTCACTTTTCTCATTGCATAAATTGCATACTTGTACTACTTGGGTGTAAAAACAACACAAAAACACAAACAGAGGAGAATTGGGCCTTGTATTTTTGTTGAAGTGACAAGTTGCAATATTTAATGATTAATGAAGTCTCTATACTACCACGAGTAGCCTTACTAGTGCTATTGTTCTCCTGTATTTCTATCAATTTTTCTCCTACTGTTTCACTAAGCGGGAATAGAATTCTCCATCTCTCCTAAACTATTCAATACATTTGCTTTGCACTAACAAAAACTAGTTGTGTTCCAGTATAAAAATGCTTGCATTTCAGTATGGTGACGGTAAAGGTTACCTGGCTAACTGTAGTTCTAATATGATTTGGAGACTCACTATGAAAAGAGCAAAATAAATGTGGAAGTTGCCTGAAATACTATAATAAAAAGCTATTAACTTCTACAGAACTCACACGCATCTTAATACAAATAAATTATTGAGTGGGAGAGTTCCAGTCTATTATTATGTTGTCCAAGTGTGCATAATTTTCATTTACATCCTTATGAAAATATTTATGATGAATGTTATCTAAATTTATAAAGGTTTATAATGACAAATTTTAGTCAATTACAGAACTGGAGCTTTCCATTGTTTACCGTTCAAAACAGGAGTATATTGTTTGGCAATATTAAGCTTTAAGCATCAATACTGAGCTTGACTTTTGCAAAAAGTACATGCAGTAGTGATGTGATAATAAACTTACCACGGTCATCGCAAGCCATATGAAAGATGTTTTAGGCATCTCACTAAATTTTGTTCATTTTTAAACTGCTTGGAAAAGATGTGCTTATATATTTAAAACCA